AAAACTGATCAACAATGAAATCAGTCATGTTAATTATTCTATCGGCAATTAAGAATATCGGAAAATCAATTAGGTGATTCATTATGATACCGTTAAATATTTGATGCACATTAACTAATTCATGAAAGCTATTTAGTTTCTTGTAAGAATATGTAACTTGAATAAATTATCTGTTATGATAATATTTGAGCAAATTGGTCGGTTTGAAAATGGTTCTGATAATGTTTTTGACTCCTTAGGTCAAAGGATATCGATGCTACAAAAACAACAACAACAACAACAACAAATTAGAAAATTTATGAGATCATTTGAATTTCAACAACATGCTGATGACATATGGGAACTCCTGACATAGGACACATTCCGTAAAATGCAACATGTAGTCACCTTATGAGAGAATAGCCTGTAGTATCGGTTGTTATGCTAAGCCCATATGCCTTATTCTAACTTCTGGACAAGTCAATTCACCTGTTCATCATGAGTCATGTTCTCACCTTGTTAATTATTCACTTATTAACCCTGACCATTTTTATGTGAGCGTAGGTGTGTGTACACTTCATATCCTATTTATCACATGTTGTCATTTATTCTTGTTTGATTATAAATATTGATTAATGCTTGATTAAAGTGAGTTGGCTTAGCCGCCATCTCCAAAGCATGTCATTTTTGTTTTGCTCGCTGATGTTTACTCATGTGCTTATAATTTTCTGGCCTGCGTCATTAGTTAATAAAACTGTAGCTGTCGCTTCTCTTTGCCATCTGGTTTTTATGCACCGTTAAGATTTGTATTATAACGATTATCGAGGTGAATGATTAACGAAGCACGGCACTACAAGCCCAACGCCTATCGGTTGTTAAGCTTTCCCAATATGTTTAAAAATTCCTATTTTATTGGAAACAAAAGTAATCAAAGAGTATTCTAAGACAAGAAACATTTGAGCAAATAATTGTTTCTAATAACTTCATAATCAGACTTTACAGCTATAAATCAATAACTGTTGTATTACAATTGATAAAATCAGTAGTATATAAATAAATGAATTAAAGAATGTTACAGGTTAAAGTGGGGCCTTGGTTCTATTGCAGTTTAAAGTGTATGAATAATGAATTTGAAAGATTATTTAAGGGCTAGGAAAATTCATCCTAAGGTGTCAAGTTGTTGAACTTGTTTTAAAAATGTGAATATTCTTTCCGATTATTTTTCATGTAGTTCCAAATTAATAATCCAACTGTTTAGATCACTGAAAAAATGTAATCTTAGCACTTGAGTGTATCAATGTTAAGACGGCCAACATGTTGTGTCTATCTGGTGCCAGTTTTAGGTCAAATGAAATTATGAGGATAATGGTTGGAAAACATGCAGATAAGGTATTGTAAGAGAAATAATCATAGAATTAATGATCAAATTAAATGTCCAATCAGAAATCACGTAATACATAAAATAATAAGAATTTAGCATGAAATAATAAGTGCGGAGAGAGTGCTAAGTCAATCGTTCAAATGTGTAAGGGGAACATAAATCAATCAATCAATTATAAGCTAAGAAAATGTTTAGTGAAAAAGTAACTAAAAGACATGGCGACAAGTTTCTACAAAGACAAATCTTGATGACCTAAGTTACGTGAAAACAGCCGTTTATAGACTATTAATGAAAATACCTAAAAGAAGTTATTCATATAAATAATCATCAATGATAGCAATGGTTAATCAAATGTAGCAATAAAACTAAATTAATATACTAAAGTTGTTTCATGAATTTTGAGGCTGACTTAAAATGAAGGAGAACATCATATATATTAGATGAAGAAGGATAATTTTGAAACTGGGTTCAGTAATATGTTAACGTAAAGTTTTACAATGAAATGTATTAAAGTGTTATATCCCGTGGAGATTTATGAATGGTAACCTTTAGAACTATTAATGGACCAATATGGTATGTATATTTCCTGTTGTATAATTGTTAAGTAACTAAACTATTCATATTTGTGTCTCTCTTATTATAAGCTTTATTTTGACCTATAGACTTATATTATAGGATTTACCATTTTTGAGTTATCCCTAGTCCATTAACTACTGTTCCCCTAATCACAGCTACATTTGTCCGAGTCTTGTACAAATGTTGTTTCTTATTTTATGGTACGATATGGTCTGTCTGGTTGGTATATAAGCCCAGTATGTTTGAGAATAATGATTCATATTGCAGAGGCTGTTATTAGTATTCTGGACTTAACTGTCTGGGCTAGACAGAAGGCAGGACTGATAAGCACTCAAGACTGCTCATTCGGCTTTTGTGTATCATAGCTCTGATCGATAATTCGCTCCTCTCTGATTGGAGGGGATCAGCATGTTCATATATATCAACTGAGCAAGAACGCACGCAATCGTTATAACAGTAAGACATATTGCATTGTCATTATATAGTCTAGGAAATGAAAAAAATCGAAGCGATTTATACTATCAACCACATACTTAATTCAATTAATCTTTGGATGTTAACCATCCCACTTAAAAATTGTGGTTTAACAATCAGTTTAGCACATAGTTTTATTGACATTGTAGTTATTATAAGTACAAAGTTCTCAAATTTCATATTTATTAATTGTTCAGAACTAATGTATTGTTCAAACAGTCCTTCTCTGAAGTATACTAATGTAACTATTTACTCAAATTACTTATAAAAGCATTAACTAATAAACGTCAAATTGAAAATCATAACTTGATCCATAAATTTATCTATTTATTTATTTTATTTACAAACTATGATGTAAAATCCATATTTAAGTGTTGAAGTGTTGTAACATACGGAATGTGTCCTATAAGAAGTGTACACACACCTACGCTCACATAAAAATGGTCAGGGTTAATAAGTGAATAATTAACAAGGTGAGAACATGACTCATGATGAACAGGTGAATTGACTTGTCCAGAAGTTAGAATAAGGCATATGGGCTTAGCATAACAACCGATACTACAGGCTATTCTCTCATAAGGTGACTACATGTTGCATTTTACGGAATGTGTCCTATGTCAGGAGTTCCCATATGTCATCAGCATGTTGTTGAAATTCAAATGATCTCATAAATTTTCTAAGTATATTCATGTCCATTGTCATAGTGTGAGTGAATTGCAACATGAACTTCAGTGAGTCACTGAGATATCGGATGAGTTGAAGATCCAATCACATGGGTAGCTAGATGGATAAACAGGTCCAAATTGAGTAAATTTCGTTGCTAACATAGTCTTACTGTTGTATAGATTCTGTCTGTAAGATTAATTCTCATCCCTTTCTGTTGCTCCATTAGTAAATCTAAAGCTCCAGTAAATTAATGTTCAGATAGCTTATTTTTTATAAAGTTGATGTCTGACTTAGCCAATTAGATACCATTTGAAAACTTGAATTGTCGATTCAAACTCTTCACTGAATTAAAACCACACTCAATCTTTGTCAACATGCGATATTTAATGACAAATCGTTGTTGAATTTTTATGATTCTGTTGATTAATACCTTACGTTATGGTCTCATCTAAAAATGCCCTCAATTTGCTGACCCATACTTTCTTATGATCAACTCATTTCGTTCTGTTAATTCATACAATTTTACGGCTGTTTTCACGTAACTGAGGTCATCAAGATTCGTTTTTGTAGAAACTTGTCGCCATGTCTTTTAGTTACTTTTTCACTAAACATTTTCATAGCAATCAAAAAATAACTATTCAACCTTGGACGAGTTTTTATTGATCCCCGGTTTCTAACCTTCACTTGTGTAAAATATAGAATGTTGATCTTTCGTGGATAATCAATAACACTTCAAAGCTGTTTGAAGCTGAAAATGAAAACAACGACATAAATGACTTCATGTTTTTCTGGAATGACTTTTATTCTTGTTGACAGTTTGTTGTTTATAAAATTGATGACTGTCTTAGCCGATTAGATAACATTTGAATCAAAACCACACTCAATCTTTGTCAACATGTGATATTCACTAACAAATTGTTGTTGACTACTTGTTGTTGTTGCTGTTGTTTGAATTGCTTCTCATGAATTTCTCTACAAAGAAAACAATTAGATATTGTTTTCTTCGATTGCCAATTTGTTTTTCTTTCGTTTGTTATTGTGAACTGTCGATTATTGTGAGCACCAAATACAACATAGGATTTCCTAAACATGTGAGCGAATGTGATTCACCAGTTTGTTGTTGAGAATTCGAAAATCCTGATTTCTTTAGGAGGTTTGATGGATTGTTCTGACAAATTTCTCGGTCTGGCAGATTATCTGCTACAATTCTTGTTAGCCTAATGCTTGCATATTGAGGAACTTTTGACTTTTGGGAGTTTTGTATAACATGGAAATGAGAGAACATTTTTATTGATTTTCTGTATTTCAGTCTAATTAAGGTAGAGTTCTGAGTAAGATTTAATTCTGCTAGTTAAAATATGCATTATTCGTTTAAGTGGCTTTTCTTATTTCACTGAACTTATTGTGATTGAGCAAGAGAAAATAAAACCATGTTTACTTGTAACGGAAAAGTAATACATGATAGCTGTACTCACATTATTTTCTCGACATGACGTAGGAGCTAACAAGATTGTTTTGAACAACAATGAAACGTTTTCAACTAGACTAACTAGTTCAGATGACATAGCACTAAAAACACCAAAATTAGTTGGAAATTTTTCTCAATATCTCTCACCATAACTTTGCTTACATCGATCATTCAAACAGTACTGTCAAGTAACATACAATTCAGTTACTGAATGAACAAATATGGCTATGTGAACACACAAAAGTTATCACGATGTATCATAGTAAACAGTTCATAACATGTCATTTCCTTCATAGAACGATTAAATGTGTCTGATAAACAAGCATATCCACATATACAAAAAAGAGAAATGTGAAAATATCTTACTGTTTAAAGTTATTAATATCACTACAACTGATGAATGAGACATCATCTGGATTGGATGAAAAGTCGACAGATATATTATCAACTGTGTTTTTATTTCTCAACATTAAAATAAAAATAAATTATCAGTAGAGGTAAAAACAGTATTTTATAAGTTGTACAGATTTTTGAACTGACATTACAAAGATTTGTATTACAACATGTATAATTGTATTTACTAAAGTCCTTAAAAGATTCTTTTGATTCACACCAATCTGCACAGTGTTTAGTTGTGAAATATGGACTGCCAATTGAAAATGACTAATAAATTATATGGAAAGAAAACGAAACAAAAGTGTTTTGAAAAACAGTAGTACTGCGAGATAAATTAACATGACGTATTAAAATTTCAATATGGATATGAACATAGATGTATGATTATAAGTTGGTCTAAAACGACGATTGCCTCTCAGACTAACCAATTTATAGTGTACTTCTTACCAGGAATTTGTAAATGATGAACGTTAAATTTTGGTTGAGCGCTTACTATGAAAATTGAAGGTAATTAATTTGACTCCGCATATATTTCTGGGTGGACACATCTGATAAACCACAAACTAGGAAGAAATGATTGTCCAATACTCTTCAGTTTTTTAGTGCCTACCTCGTAATAAGAATGAATTTCAACTTAAATATATCTCGAAAAAATAACTTGCGCTAACCAAACCTGTTCGTTTGTTATTGATCGTACGGTAAACTTGGGATGAAAAAAATAGTTGGTATTCCTGTTTTAGTAGCTTATAACTAATCGCAACACATTTGATGTATTCTTTACTTCTCAGATAGTCAGCATTGAGTCATATTTATGTGCAGTCATATCATCTTCTCTCTGACAGAAAATCAGTGTGTATTTAGGAAGTTCAGGTAGATTTCTCCAAGTTATGTTTATTTAAATATTAGTCGAAAATCATTAAGTTTATCAAGGTTCTAGCATACAACAAAAAGCTACGCTATCTTATCTCTTAGTTGTGAAGCATTAATGACTAAATCTACGAAGTTTAGGCGTTTATATGTATTTTGCTACCGGTTTCATCAAAGTATAAGTATTCGATGATATAACTATTACTTAGGAAACTTGAGTTCAAATGTGAACTTTTCAGTGGAGAAATGACATCGGTAGATGGTCTTCGCAATTGTAAACTACTAGGATATACAAATCATGTAATATACATTCTTACATTCCACCTCATTTTTGATTGAGAATAATGAGTGAATTAATACGTTATAAAATGATTCAGTCTATTTTTTAAGCAAGCGATATTTGCTGCGGTTTATGTATGAATCGGTAAACTGGCGATTTACGATCTATTTAGGAACTTAATCTATGTTTGGAGAATTTTTCTAAATGGTTATACAGCTAACGACCATGGCCTAAGTAATGTTCTGTAGTGAAATAAAATCCAATTACTGTACCAGGAGGTGGTTATTATATGCAATATATTCATTTTGCGAAAAATCTGAACTAACATACAAACTGATTTTAACAATGATATTAGAAAACAGTATACCTAAATGAAAAGATCTTCCTTTCATATATCAAATGCTTTATAACATTAGAATGATAAATTTATTTATAGGATGGGCTAAGGTCTTCTGATGACGTTAAGAGCTTCAACCAATATTAACTTTGATATTTTCATTTGTTTCAACAGGAACTTCTTCAGATCTGTAAATGGATAATCAATAGATCGTCTTTATCAAGCAGAGCAATCGAACTATTGTATTAATTAGGTGGTATTGGAGCATTTTTACTATTCATATCCTCTATAGAAATAATCACATGTCAGATTGTAGGAAAAATATGAAGTAGAATAATGGCAGATTAACTTTTAGTATGTCACTCCTTTTTAAAGTTTCCTAAACGTGAATAATCGATAACTAGAAAAACACACGACTTCGAAACTGAAATTAAAAATTAATCCTGTAATTATTGAAATATAAATTGTTACTTTTTAAAAGACAACAGTCCATCAATCTTTATATTCGTGCAAAAACAATTGCCTTCTATTCTTTTAGATAAGTACACGAATAATCAATCCTCCAAGTTAGTAAGATTTATTAAACTACCCAGTTCTTCTAGTGAACATAGTGTAGCATAACTAAACCTGAACAACATCAAGACATCAACACTATCACCAACAATACAGGGATCATGTAAAGAAAATTCGGAGTGTGAATTCATATATAAATATACTGACATTCATTTTTTGTGGATTAAAATGTTTCGTAACTGACAGTTTTCATCAACCTGGTATGTATGTAACTGGGACAAGCAAACTCACTTTACTTGTGAGTTTCTAAAGATGGTCTAAAATTATATTTCTAGATTTTATCATTAATTTGATTGGCCTATGACTCAGTGCCAGTAAAGACTAGTTAATTCATTTAAGTTCATTACATTTCATCGCTCGTTGTTTCTGTTTCAATTCAAAATGAATACACTGAGATCTCGATTATTACTGTCTGTTACTAGAAATCACGACATCAATTAATGTCCGGTGGTACTTTGGGATAATAATACCTTACTTTATTAAATTAATGTTTCACTTTCATTTTAGAACATGGAGATGACTTTTGCAATATAAAGTTAGGTTTTTCTTTCTCAACTCTTGGCAAGTAACTTGATTTTAAATTTTCGTTGTGTTTCATAATCCGTCTTTAAAAGTGTTAATAAATTGTTTATATTGAACTAAAAGTAATTTTTTAAATTAATATGTAAAATAGCAACTCAAGTGATTTTATGTATACTCTCCACACTTACCACACACCATTTACAGCCACTTCTTATGCCAACTTCACTAGAAGAGCGATTGAATGGAAATGGACACATTGCACACTCATAACACTTGGCCGAGAAAGCTGAAATGAATGGGGATGAAATACAGTCATAACAACAATAATGAGCGGTTTTTGGAGTTTGTTAATATGTGTAATACCCCTTTTGCAAACAAAATTACCCAACTCAACCAGTATAGATGAGTGCATTTTTCCAAATTTATTTGATATGAGTAACTCTGATTCACTGTTTAGCAATAAAATGTTATCATATTTAACCTTCACAATATGGTTATGAGTTCATGATTACAAAATTTCCAGTCATACTGGATCTCCTATGATCATGTTTGTATTTAAAAAGAGATACTACTCAAAGAAAATTTGATGTTATTTCGATTATAATTAGTGGGAAGTTAGGCACCCTTTATTAGTTGCTCTCATCTCTTTTTAATAAGATTTTTAAAGGACTGGAAATTACAACGATAAGGATTTCATCTTGGTACACTAAACGCTTTACGAACGAGAAGCAAACATTTACCGATCCATTTACTATAATAGAAACAGCTAAGAATTGAATGAATTATAAAATAATACTAAATTTATCTAGTAAGGACAAGTAGAAAGCTTCTACTAAAGCTTCTTCTAATCATTAACTCGATCTAAGTTGGTAATTTTGTACGAAGATTGATGACATGTATGTTTCAATAACAATAAATCGCTGAAGTCATATATCGGGCCACTAAACTTGTGAGCTCGTGACTCAACGGTAGCGTGTCTGACTCCAGATCAGAGTGCCACGTGTTCGAATCCTGTCGGGCTCACTAATTTACTGACCCGATATATGACATTAGTAATATCGTATGATTGATTGTTATTGAGACATACATGTCGTCAATCGTATGAAACTATCAACTTAAATCGCGTTTATGATTAACGGAATTAGATAAGTCAAATACGAGAATGGATTTTTTGGCCTGTCCAGAAGATAGAGTAAGTTATGTGGGCTTAACATAGAAATCAACATTATAAACCCTGAGTTTATTTCTTGTTGGCTTTGCTAAAATGGGTTGATCATTATTGATTAAATTGTTTCTTTAGTTTCATAAAAAGAAAATGAAGGTTAGAATGTGATCGGATATTGAAATTTAGTGATGAAATTAAAAAAACAATCCCACTGCTTCTTAGTTTATTGTTTTAAGGATTAATAAACATACTAGCAGAGGTCTATATATATTCAGTCGAAATATTTGGTCAGGAAATAATTTAAATTTTCTTGTTTTCAGTAATGAAAATTAGTGTTTTTTAATTTATGGAGTTCCTTGCATGGTATCATGGTTACTCACCTCTAAACACTCCCTAGAATCCATAGTCCTTCAGTTCATAATAAATACAATGTTTGAAGCAAATAAATTTCCATAGACAATTTAGGGATGGAATCTTACTGTAGTAATCAAATGAATTTATCTGAGATTGAAATTTGAATAGCTTAGATAATAGTTAACATTCTTACACTCAAAACAGATCACAACGTTAAAATGAGATGAATTGGATAGAAACAGACACATACCAGCAAAAGGTCAAGAAGGAAAGCAAATAAAATAAAGAAGAATTAGCTATTTAAAGTAATTAGTTTCTTTGATAATAAGTAGTTAAGTTTAATTCCTAAAAGAAAATAAAAATATGAGTCGCCATTCATATTAATGACTTTAGATGAGACCTAATAAAAACTCTAACAACTGTGTTTTAATATCCCAAAGACTTCATTTAGAAAAGAAGAAGATACTGTATAATTTTAACCAAGAGGAAGAAATGCATGGTTCATAAGTCCGAAAATTGATTGAAAACAACTTCAATGAGTGTGATATTCATGATATCAAGAGTTTGATTTATTACATATACTTATATATTTCTCTGTGCAAATTATTTATAAAAAGGGATAAAATATTAGACACATCGGACTCATTTTACAACTCTACTGCTTCTGAACAATGTATCTAGCTTAATTAACTTTCACAGATAACAGAAATATTTACGCTTATTTGCAGAATTATATCTCCAACTATTTAGGTTTCTGTGAATATGACGTTGTAAACATGGTAAGAAGCAGTGTCTCATTTGTTCAATCAAAAGAATAAGTAAATGAAGATAGTTAAATCAAACTAAAGATAAAACGAATTGTGATAATGAAAGAATTCCCAAATGAATGCAAGACCCAATCACTTGAAGCTATCAATCAATATCTTCGTATCACATATATTTGATTAGTCTGATGAAAGTAATCATAAGAAGGTTAATAAAAGTCAAATAAAATTCCCATTTCACTAAATAAGATTCTATAGGTGAAATTTTCTACTGAAAATTAATTTACAATCTAATTCAATGAAATTAATTAATTAAATCAACATTGTGTCCTTATTGTTTGGTCACAAACTTCTCATCACTATCTGATAAACTGCTATGCCTGAGCAACATGGAATTCTCAATGGAAAAAGAAATTACTATCACATTCTACATTTATATAGTTTGTTCATATTAAGCAGAGATGGATAGTGGCTAGCAGTGGACGCGCGTCTCGTCATATTTGAGATTTGTCAGCTGGATGTACCTGCATCTCAGAGTTGATGTTCACTCTAGGACTCAAACCCAGCACCTATCACTTCAAACGCCTTCGCGTTATCCACTCGGCCACTGAGTCCCGATACCCACTTGCTTGTGCGATGGGGTGAAGTTTAAATTCATTTAGTATTGTTTGTTTGAACCTGCTTATCATGCTTGTGAACTAAGGCTATATCGAGGCAATACACACAGTATGCACATATGCCAATTAGAGATTGACCAGTTGCAGTCCTAACACATCGATGAGAAGATTTAAGCAAATAATACCAAATGAAGTTTGTTCACATTGTTTTTATATTCCCCATGGCGTAGTGTAAATTTCTTTACAAATTTCAGTGAAATTAAGAATGTATGCTATGAAATTAAACAACCTTAATTATAATCGTGACAAACATTTCAGTTGACATGTTACTTTCAATAAAAAGCATATAATTTATATTATCAGAATTGGGTGTTTGTGGAGATTTAGTATTTTGATAATTGAACATCATGGATGCTGACTCAGTGGTCTATCGGTTAAGTGCTCTGTCGCTCGACTGGTAGGTCCTGGATTTGAATCTCGTGGATGCGCACTGCTGAGGGGTCCAACAATTGGACGAAACGGCCGTCCAGTGCTTCCAGGTTTTCCCTGGTTGTCTAGCTTCAATTGACTCACGCTTTTAATTATGAAAATATCATTTGTATAATATAAATCACAATATAAACGTTAGTGGATGGAATAATCACTTATCAACATTGTTTTAAACTCACTATAATCTGTATTCATCACAAACACCAATATTGTCAACAAAATCTTTATGTTACTTTCCATTATACCAAACGATCAGAAACACATTTATTATATATTACAACTCTTCAACACTTAAATATGGATTTATTAAATATGAATTTGTGGATTAAATTACAATTTGTTATTTGATGTTTATTAATTGGTTGAAAAGAAATCACTTTTATGTATCTTAGTAATCAAAGTCAACTATGTACTAACAACAAATGTTACGTACATGAGGTAAGACATGAGAACAGCAAATTTAGAAAGACAAACAATTGCCACTTCATATTAATGACTTGTTTAAAAATTATTTCCAATCTATTTCGTTCAAAAACTCCGCCTGTAGCTCCTCCAGGGGCTACTGCCGGTCCCAAGCCCGGGTAAAGGAGGAGGGTTGGGCATGGGGTTAGCGACCCCATCCCGTAGAAAATCAACTCGCTAAAAAAACGCTAACCAGAAAAAATCATTCAAACCATTCAAACTCTGCCCTGGGAGTAGAAGGAAAAATGACGTCTCATGATGAAAGCCGAGTTCATTCGGAAGTCATGAGGCCGATGCACCTTCTTACAACCAGAGCGACAATTTTTATAGGTACATGGAATGTCCGGACAATGTGGGAGACCGGCAGAGTCTTCCAAATTTCTGCGGAAATGAGGAAATACAACCTGGAAGTGCTTGGAATCAGTGAAACACATTGGACGCAGGTTGGACAACAACGACTGTCTTCAGGGGAACTTCTGTTATACTCCTGTCATGAAGAAGAAAATGCCCCACATACACAAGGAGTGGCACCGATGCTGTCTAGAAAAGCACAAAAAGCACTTATAGGATGGGAATCTCATGGACCGAGGATCATCAAAGCCTCCTTCAAAACAAAGAGAGAGGGCATTACAATGAACATCATCCAATGCTATGCGCCGACCAACGACTACGATGAAGACGCTAAAAACCAATTCTACGATAGGCTGCAGTCAATCTTCGAGAAGTGCCCAACCAAGGACCTGACCATTCTAATGGGAGATTTCAATGCCAAGGTTGGAAAGGACAACACTGGATACGAAGACGTCATGGGACAACATGGACTGGGAGGAAGGAACGAAAACGGTGAGAGATTTGCAAACCTATGTGCCTTCAATAAACTGGTCATAGGTGGCACCATATTCCCACACAAAAACATACACAAAGCCACTTGGATTTCACCGGATCACACTACACAAAATCAAATCGACCATGTCTGCATCAACAAAAAGTTCAGCATGACGATGGAGGATGTGAGAACCAGAAGAGGAGCTGATATAGCATCCGATCATCATTTGCTGTTCGCCAAGATGAAACTAAAACTTAAGAAGCACTGGACAATGGCGCGGACAACATCACAAAAGTTTAACACGGCCTTTCTTCGAGATGCTGACAAACTCAACGAATTTAACATAGCCCTCAGCAACAGGTTCCAGGCCTTTCATAACCTACTCAATGAAGAGGGAACCACCATAGAGAGCAGCTGGAAAGGTATCAAGGAGGCAATCGTTTCAACATGTCAGGAGGTTCTGGGCCAAAAGAAGCACCATCACAAGGAATGGATCACTGTTGGTACACTGGATAAAATTGAAGCAAGGAGGAACAAGAAGGTAGCAATCAATATCAGCCGAACAAGAGCAGAAAAAGCCAAGGCACAAGCCGAATACACAGAGGCAAACAAGCAAGTGAAGAGGAGCATCAGGACCGACAAACGTAAATATGTGGAAGATTTAGCGATGACAGCGGAAAAGGCTGCAAGAGAGGGAAACATGAGACAACTGTATGATACAACAAAGAAACTTGCTGGAAATTACCGTCAACCAGAAAGACCAGTGAAAAACAAGGAAGGCAAAGTAATCAACGATATTGAAGAACAACGAAACAGGTGGGTAGAACACTTCAAGGAACTCTTGAATCGACCAGCTCCACTGAACCCACCCAACATCGAAGCAGCACCCACAGACCTCCCAATCGATATTGGCCCACCAACAATTGAAGAGATCAGCATGGCCATTAGACAAATCAAGAGTGGCAAAGCAGCGGGACCAGACAACATCCCGGCAGAGGCACTGAAAGCAAATGTAACAGCAACTGCCAAGATACTCCACATCCTCTTCGGTAAGATTTGGGACGAAGAACATGTACCAACAGACTGGAAAGAAGGACTTCTCATCAAGATACCAAAGAAAGGCGATCTGAGCAAGTGCGACAACTACAGGGGCATCACTCTCCTCTCAATACCAGGAAAAGTCTTCAACAGAGTATTGTTAAACAGGATGAAGGATTCCGTGGACGCCCAACTTCGAGATCAACAAGCTGGATTTCGTAAGGATAGATCGTGCACAGATCAAATCGCAACTCTACGTATCATTGTGGAACAATCAATCGAATGGAATTCATCACTGTACATCAACTTCATCGACTACGAGAAGGCATTTGATAGCGTGGACAGGACGACACTATGGAAGCTTCTTCGACACTACGGCGTGCCTGAGAAGATAGTCAACATCATACGGAACTCCTATGATGGACTAAACTGCCAAATCGTCCACGGAGGACAACTCACCGACTCGTTCGAGGTAAAGACCGGTGTTAGGCAAGGTTGCCTACTCTCACCCTTTCTCTTTCTCCTGGTGATCGACTGGATTATGAAGACGTCAACATCTGGAGGAAAGCACGGGATACAGTGGACAGGCAGGATGCAGCTTGACGATTTAGACTTCGCGGATGATCTGGCTCTTCTATCACAAACGCAACAACAAATGCAGGAGATGACGACCAGTGTAGCAGCAGCCTCAGCAGCAGTAGGTCTCAATATAAACAAAGGGAAAAGCAAGACTCTCCGATACAATACAATATGCACCAATCCAATTACACTTGACGGAGAAGCTTTGGAGGATGTGGAAATCTTTACATATCTGGGCAGCATCATTGATGAACACGGTGGATCAGATGCAGATGTGAGGGCGCGGATCGGCAAAGCAAGAACAGCATACCTACAGCTGAAAAACATCTGGAGCTCAAAATAATTGTCAACCAACACCAAGGTTAGAATTTTCAATACAAATGCCAAGACAGTTCTTCTGTATGGGGCAGAGACGTGGAGAACTACGAAAGCCATTATCCAGAAGATACAAGTGTTTATTAACAGCTGTCTACGCAAGATACTTCGGTACCGATGGCCAGACACTATCAGCAACAAGTTACTGTGGGAGACAACAAACCAGATTCCAGTGGAGGAAGAAATCAGGAAGAAGCGCTGGAAGTGGATTGGGCACACTTTGAGGAAATCACCCAATTGTGTTACAAGACAAGCCCTCACATGGAATCCTGAAGGTCGAGGGAGAAGAGGAAGACCAAAGAACACATTACGCCGAGAAATAGAGACAGACATGAGAAGAATGAACAAGAACTGGAAAGAACTAGAAAAGAAGGCCCAGGACAGAGTGGGTTGGAGAAAGCTGGTCGGCGGCCTATGCTCCATTGATAGTAACAGGCGTAAGTAAGTAAGTAAGTATTTCGTTCAAAACAAGACTGAACATTAAAACATGTGTAAATTGACATGAGGTTTTGGTTACTATTTTATTAATTTTTATGTAATGCTATACAAGGAAAAAATTGTAGTGAAAAGTTTTCATTCTAAAAAAATGTACGATAAAGTTAACATGTGGATGACTATGCTTCGGTGATACATCATTCAACCTCCATCTTATCTAGGTTATCTAGGTTACACACAGTAGTAGACTTCGGTACTCCTACGACTTGTCGTTTACTGAACAGATAATGAAACAGACTTCCAAGTCTCAACGCCTTATAGGTTACATAACTCGGAACCTTTATAACAACGAATCACGTATTTTAATTTACAGAGTTTGTGTTCGACCACTCCTTGAATACTGCGCGTTTATTCTTAGTAGCGCGCGCATAAAGGATAAATTAAGGCTGGAATCAGTACAGAGACGATTTACACGTCGTACTCTTGGTACTGGTTGTACCTTAACTTATAATTCTAGATGTGATAAACTTGGGCTCGACCCATTATGGAAGAGGATACTCAATCTTAATCTTATCTTCTTCTTCAAAATACTTAACGAACTATCCTTTACATCCAACCAAGCGATTCAATATGCAATATATATATATATATATATATATATATATTATATGATTGAAGCAATTTTTGGTTAAAAGGGAAAACTAGACCAATTAATTATTCTATACATAAACCTATTGTTAATGTTAGAATAACCTGTTCCACGCGCTTTAATCCATAGATTCACCAACTAATTATGATAACTATTATTAAATAGTAATTTAATGAACAACTCATTATACCTTTGATTCAAATCACTAAGCTAGTCGAGTAATGTCAGAAGTTGAGTTTATTAAATTACTGAAGGCAATCGATGAGAACACGCAAATTTATATTTCTTGCCAGTTGGCATTTATTAACAAATAATGTCTGTCAAATTTGTTTGGTAGAATAATAATCCAAAAACTGAAATGACATGCTATGAACTGTTTATTATGACACATTGTGATAATTTTTATGTGTTCACATAATCATATTAATTCGTTCAGTAACTGAATTGTATGTTAGTTAAAAGTGGCGCAAAGAAGATCAAATGATTTTTAAGAGTATTACTCTAATGATATTTAGAAACCAACCGACATATGGCAATAAACGTATTTTATCACTTCATGGAAAATTGTTAAGTCAATATAGGGTCAGTAAAGATGCTGGAGGAAAGAATAATCAAGATCCATATCCGGACAGTGACAACATAGTTACTGCAAATACTTAACCATATTCTTCACTGACAGGTTAAATAATTAACTCTTAGTGGTTACATTCTAATAGTTCATATTTTCATTTCTGAAGTTAGTACTGATGGCTTCTCTGGAAATAATAGTAAAAACTTTAAAATTAAATCATCAAACTTGACATATTTAATACGATCGTGATCGATTCTATTTATCACTGTCTATTGATGAGGATTTCGGAAAGTAGAACTTTGTTA